ATTGATGACTGGTATTGTCATTTCAAAAATATGTATAGTGTCACATCAGAATGAGAAAGCGTCATTTTTAGAATGTAATGATAATGTAAATGAGGATGATAACAACGACGAAACTGATGACATTGTAGCTGATATTCTTGATTCCCCAATTACGAGAGAAAAAAATTTAGAAAGCATCCGACAACTTAAGTGCAATGAATCATCTGGCATTGATAATTTAATGCCTGAATTTTACAAACATTCAGCAAACCTGTTAGTACCATATCTTGAACTAATATTTAATGTCATTTTAGAAAACGGAACTTTTCCGAATTCATGGTCGGTGGGAATAAGTACTGTACCTCTCCATAAGAGCGGGGATATAAACAACACTGATAATTATAGGGGTATAACTCTTTTGAGCATTTTTAGCAAGATATTTTCTTTTATTATTAATAAAAGATAAGTGTATTGGGCTAGTACAATGAACACAATTTATTAGTCACAAGCTGGATTCAGAGAAGGATATGTGCAAAGAAATAAACTTTGGAATCTTTTGAAGACTCATGGATTAAGTTCTAAAATGAATAAATTGTTAGGTAGCATTTATGAAAATATAAAAGTCTGTGTTAGAAATAACCAAGTTATTTCTCCTACATTTTCAAGTCATTTAGGAGTACCACAGGGTTGTATCTTAAGCCCGTTCCTGTTTTCGTTTTTCATCAATGAATTTGCAATGCAAATTATCTAATAACTGTTCCTATGGAATTCAACTACATCCAGAGGAAATACAATTGTTTTTACTTTTGTTTGCAGACGATATTGCACTATTTTCAAGTACTATTGAAGGTCTACAGTCACAAATTAATAAAGTATTGTGATGAATGGAAATTGAATGTAAATAGAAATAAAACAAAAATTGTTGTATTTAAAAACGGCGGTAATTTATCAAAATATGAAAAATGGTACTATAAAGGTAACCAATTGGAGATTACAAGTTTTTATAAATATTTAGGAGTGTATTTTACTAACCGTCTTTCGTGGACAGTATCATGTAAGCCAAGCATCCTTACAAGCTCAAAAGGTATTCATTGGTATACAATGAAATGCATGTGGTCTAAACTTTGATTATAATACACTTTTCAAAATTTTTGATGTAAAAAAAAGTCCAATTTTATTGTATTGTTCAGAGATTTGGGGACTCTCAAAAGTAGATGCTATAGAAAAGATTCACTTGTATGCATGTAAGAAATATTTAGGTGTTAAAGTTAATACACACGGGGTTATGGTTTATGGTGATTGTGGTCGCTATCAACTGTATATTTTTGCATATATGAAAGTTATCAAATATTGGTTAAGAATTTTAAATATGCCTTTGTATAGATTTAAAAAGAAGTGTTATAATATGTTATTTTTGTTTGATTCAAATGGTAAAAGAAACTGGGCAACTGGTGTTAGAGAACTTTTATTTGAATCTGGTTTCGGTAATGTTTGGTATGATCAACGGGTTAATAATACTGCTGAGTTTATCCAGTCACTGAAACAAAGACTAAAAGATATTTATTTACAATCATGATATGTTTCATTAGCATTATCGGATAAACACTTTTATTATAAACTGTTTAAATCTTACATTTATAGAGAATGCTATCTCGTTGATATTACCATACCAAAATATAGAAAAGCATTGGCACGGTTTCGTTGCATGTCGCATGATCTACATATTGCAACAGGCACATATATTAATACCCCACGAGAACAAAGAAAATGTAACATGTGTAACTTAAATGAATTAGAAGACGAGTATCACTTCCTTAACTGCTAATTAAATACTATCTATGCCAGAATAAAATGAGCATATTTATGGTTGTCATGATGTATATATACACAGTAAAAAAAGTGTTGCATCCCCACATTAATACGTTTGATACATCACAACATTTAAAACGCCCGACTCTGGTTTTAATGGTAGGTATTCCTTGGGGATCTGATGTTAAATGTGTAATGTTTTCGGAGGGAAGATGATCACCAAAACGTAGCAATCAGCACGTGAATTGCATGGTGCATGACATTTGCAGATTGCAGTATCTTCTTAAGCTCAACATCGCCTATAAAAGATGTTCTCTGACAGCCCAGTTTATTGTAACCCACAATGCCGGGTAGACGATTGTCAGAAGCAGTCAAGTGGCAGATTATTGGCCTTCATGGAGCAGGTCTTTCGTTCAAGGAGATTGGCAGAAGAACCGGACATCACTACTCAACAATAAGCCGTTTGGTCAGAAAACACGCACAAACTAATGATGTAAGGAATCGCAGACCCTCTGGCAGACCACGTAAGACCACAATTAGAGATGACAGAGCGTTGTTGAGGGTGGTAAGGCGTCATCCATTTGCTACAAGCACAACCTTGAAACGTCTTTGGCTTCCTCGTCAACAGTTCAGTACCCAGACCGTGAGAAATCGTCTTAAAGCTGCAGGGTTGAAGTCCAGAAGGGTTATCAAGCGACCTAAACTCACAGACAACCACAAACGACTACGTCTAGCCTGGTGTAGACTGAGACAGAACTGGAACTTGAGGTCCTGGAGAAGAGTCCACTGGTCGGACGAAAGCAGGTTCCTTCTGCATGTTGTGGATGGCAGAGTGAGAGTATGGAGGCGTCCTGGAACAGCTTATACTGCAAGAAACATCATGCCAACTGTACCATATGGAGGTGGATCTGTTATGGTCTGGGGATGCTTCTCATTTGATTGTAAGCTTGATTTAGTGACCATACGAGGCAACTTGACAGGGGAGCGCTACATCCAAGAGGTGCTGAATCCAGTTGTGGTGCCCCATTTTGACAATCATCCACTGGCCACCAGACCGATATTCATGGATGACAATGCCAGACCACATCGTTCACGAGCTGTGACCCAGGTTATCCACAACAATGCTCTGACGCAGATTCCATGGCCAGCAATGAGTCCAGATCTGAATCCTCTGGAACATGTATGCGACATTTTGGGACGCCTGATTTATCGTCGAGACCCTCCTCCACAGAACTTGCGTGAATTGGAAGCAGCATTACACGAGGAGTGGCAACAGCTGCCCATGGAGCGATTCCAACGTCTGGTGAGGAGTATGAGACGAAGACTTCAAGCTGTGATCCAAGTGCTTGGTGGAAGTTCTCGATATTGACTTACTGTGTTCGTCAAATCTCCATATGACATTCTTACCCTATTGGATGAATTTGGTCACTAAAAATTATTGAGATGTCACCATACTTAATGCGTCTTCGTTGTTCGTTCATTTTTCGTAAAAGTTCAGCATGAGATTATTACATGCCATAAGGTCATGGAATACCCCATTTAAGTTCATTGTATAGACAATACACTGGTTTGTTGGTATACACGAAATCCTGGTTATAATATTAATTCGGTTATCTTTACACCCTTTCAAAACACCCCTCCATGAAAAAGTATAGGGGGGGGGGGGCAACACTTTTTTTACTGTGTATATGTGGGAGACAATTTATTTCAATTTGATGTTCTATTGTAATGATTAATTATGTTGAATTGTATTATGTACTAAAGGCCTGTGGCCTCTTGAGTACGAGATAAAGATTGATTGATCAATGACTGCGTCATAGCAAACGACGTTAAAAGATGGTACTTTTTGTTCCTCTGTCTGGAGCTCGGGGTCTCTGATTGGGGTATTAATTTTAAACTGCGGCTTGGTATCACAGTGGGCTAGCACTATAAAATTGGCATTAGTCCGGATTGGTGCAAGTAGACATACATGTACATACAGACACACACACACACACACACACACACACACACACACACACACACACACACACACACATTTCAACCTTAAGTGTTTCATGTTTACATTTCCACAACGCGTGGTTTGGTTTCCTGCATTTGTACCGAACTCGCAGGTCGACATGTCATTAAGCCCTACTGCAAACCTATTAGTACATTAATACATTTAGTACGCTTTATTTCCAAGGGCTTTCCCCCCACGTCTAACAAACCTAATTACGTTGATTGCGGATACAAAATCAATAAAGCCCATCCATATTGATATATGCTTTACGTTAGGGCGATCTCCTAATTAACATTTGTGATACGGAGCATCCTCATGTGTGGGAACGTGAAGCTTTATATTATTTGTTAACGGGTGTATGCAAGGAAATATAAAACGTCAAGGCCAGAAAATAACCTCCTTTATCCGATGAAACAGATTCCTTTGGGCATAAAAGGCAAAATGGCAGTGAAAATTATATGAATAGATACATGTCATTGCACGTAAGAACACATATACGATGGGTGTATGTGTATGTGTATATCTAATATATGTGCATTGTAATTCAAACACCAATGTCAGAGTCTTTCAAAACTATGTCCCATCAAATGGAATGACAAGAAGAAATACCACATGCATAAACATTTTACAGCACTGTACATAGAACACTATCTTCAAAGTGTCTACAGTATCCAGAAATTAACACTGCAATAGATCAAACAGTACTTCAATAAGGAAATTATATTCATATACATCAAAACATGCTGAGTGTAAAAACAACTCAAACATATTGGGTGTATGGCATTTCCTTGAAAGGGTCATCTGAAAAAATAGAATGCACTGATTATTTCAGAAATACCCCCATGCACATTACAGTAGTCTAGGGGGCACGGGTGGCCCAGTCGTCTAAGGCGCCGCAATTCGCTGTGCAGATTTGCGCCCCTTTGGCACGCCAGAAACCTATTATTGTGGGTTCGAATCCCGGTTCGCCCCGATTATGTTTCTAGGTTTGTCAGCACCATAACCGTGCTCGTGAGTTTCACCGAAGTGGTAAACGTCTAAGACCTGCATCACTTCGGGCTTTCCTCCCACATTAAGCTGACACGCCGTGATATGACAGGAATACTGTTAAAAGCGGCGTTAAACAGAACTCACTCACCCACTACAGAAGTCTAGATTAGGTCATGTATTATCTATATTTTATTCTAATAACACTAACCTTTCATTACAGGTGGGGCTGGCTTGCATTCAACTGTGGCAGTACCTTTGGTATTTCTGGTGGCAAATGGCAGTTGGCAGCAAAGTAAGCGAAACTTACACGGAGCCACATGCGCGTGCGTTCACGCAAATAGCTCCTTTGGCATCTTTATATCGATACGCTTCTGATGATTGATAGAATGTGTCGATGAAACACTTTAATACTTTCGATTTAAACAGTTGACACTAAAACACACCCGTAGTCATGCTTAATAGGAACAACGCCGTCATATTTCATAATGTAACATTTATCTATTAACTTATACAAACCCATGTGTGAAGGTATGCACCCAAAGAACGTTTCAATCTGGCTATGTTTCACCTCTGAGTTAATATGGCACATTGACAACAGATGTACACGGGGATCAAGCATAATGATACAAGCCTGCAACGAAACAATGTGGAGTGAGTAAGTGAGTATGGTTTTACGCCGCATTTAGCAATATTCAAGCAATATCACGGCGGGAGACACCAGGAATGGGCTTCACACATTGTACCCATGTCGGGATTGAAACAATGTGGACATTATAACAACTGCATTACATGTGTGAGAACGCCCTGCTTATTACACTATATTTGTACGTATTCAGGGCAGCAGTGACGACACTGATGGCTTCAACAGGAGGTGGAAGTGCCGGGGTAATCATAAGGTAGGAATACTGAACAAACTCTTCAGCTGTGTAACGTTCAGGCGAATTATTTGTATTGAGTAGTTCTGATTTAGTGAACATGTCGAAAAGTGTGACTCCACGTGTTTGAGGCATTTGGGGCCAAATTTGGGTGTTGGTGGCCCATTTTATGCACTGAGTGTGTGATCTGATGGGAGCATGGGTGGATCGTGAGGCTAAGGTGCCACCGCAATTCGTTGGGCAAAGTTGGACCCTTAGGCGTACTACAAAACTATCGTCGTGGGTTCGAATCCTATAATTACCCGGAAGATGTTTTAAGGTTTATCAGTACCATGCCCTTGCTCGTTGGTTTCAAGCCTAAGACCAGAATAATTTCGAGATTTCCTGCCACATTAAGCCAGCAAGATACAATTGAAATATCACTCTTGCGACAAACAATAGACTGCACGTGAGCTTGTCTGAGGAGTGTGTCTGTTGTCTTGATTCTTTTAGGTTTCACTGTGGACAATAATATCGTTTCAGCTATGTTTTCAAAAAGAGGAAGTTCGACGTTGGATACCTTATAAACTCGGTACTTGGTTCCTTGGTCTCTATAACAGGTTAGTACGTTTAGCGGAGGTAGGGTTTAGCCTAAACAGTCAGATCTGTTTTAACCCCTATCTCAGTAATTTTGACTTAACCGACATAACCTTTTTGTCCAAAACTTTTAGGTACCATCCGTTGAATGTAAGAACTATGGGGGACGTGTGGCCCAGTCGTCTAAGGCGCTGCAATTCGCTGTTGCGTTCCATGGGCCCGGGAGAAGCCTATGATCGTGGTTCGAATCCCGGTCCGCCCTGATTATGTATCTAGGTTTGTCAGCACCTGAACTCGTGTGTTTCACAAACTTGGTAACCGTCAAGTAACTGCATCACTTCGGGCTTCTCCTACATCAAGCTGACATGTCGTAATATAACTGGAATAATGTTAGAAGCGGCGTTAAACCCAACTCACCCCCTCACACAAGACTTCTTGGGGTATTTGAACTCTCTGAACCGACATTTCCTCTTAAAACAAATATCACTGTATACATTATGCAGAATGTTTCATCCCATGTTTAAAAGAAGTAAGAGGCAGAAGGGTTATTTTAACCAACTAGAAATGGTACATTGTTGCGGAGGACTTTCAACATGAATTGAATGTTATCGCACATTGTCACTGACACTTAGCCTTTTGTCGGTCAATCACTTGCAAGACTTTGGAATTTGGAACTTTGGACATAATCGAGTGCAAATTAATGACTTAAATGAGCTAAAAGTCCATATTTCTACACGTCTGGAGACAATTCCGAGCTTTAAACAACTCCATGTGAATGATTTTTACTATTTGAGGTACTATCTTTTACTAACATACGTCTCTTTAGAAAATATTTATCTAGTGTAAAAAAGTGACAAAACCTTTCCATAATCATAATAAAGTCCAACTATAATCAAAGCTTGTGTTTATGAATCACTATCAAATTGTTGATGATACCATGTGTTCAAGAAAAGGTGAGCGTTTGATGTCTCTGAGTAAACCTACCTGGAAAACCCTTATATCAGCCTTGTTGGCACGCTAATCGTTCGTATAAGCATTCATTTGCAATATGCCCGTTTCTTCTTTTCAGCAAGTTGTGCCCTAGTGCGACCCTGGGAATCAATAGTTATTGGTATCATAGGAGCAATACTAACTCTCTGTTGTGCCAAGCTTCTTGATGTTTTACACATAGACGACCCAGTTGGAGCTGTCGCCGTCCACGGGGCTTCCGGTTTCTGGGTAGGTATCAAGTTTACCTCTTCCACATGCCATCATAACATCGCACAAGCTGTTGCTTCCTTCACCATGGAATGTACATTTGGAGATTGAAAATCAAACAATATATATCCTCGGATATTGTACGATATGGCTGGAATATTGCCGATGTGACGTAAAGCTTTAACTCACTCACTCACTCGGATATTGTAAATATTAATAATGTTATAACAGATTCGCATTTGTTTAAACGATTTCTATCGTAAGGCGAGACGGGGGAATAGGGGAGAGGGGCTGTAGGGATATTGGTGTTCGTCTGAAGAGCCGCAGTTCCCTATCAAGTACCTAATGCGTCCCAGAATCGTATGATACTACGTTATGATTAACGCCGCTTTGACACATATTACTGTTATATCACGGCATACTAGCCTAATGTGCGAAGAAAATTCAGTGAGTCAGGCCGTAGATTGTGACCGGTTTGATGATGACCTTGATCACGGGTATGGTGCTGTGGTCGAAGAGCAATAATACAGTTGAATCGGGAATCCGAACCCAGGATCCTGCACACCCAGTTTTGCAAATCGAAAAGTGGCGCCTAAGATGACGGGATTTTAATTTTGAGCTTTCATACTTTATAAGAGACTTTGATGTCTTTGTTGCAGGGGCTCCTTGCTGTGGGTCTTTTTGTTGAGCAGGACCCTATTGAAAACTTGACAGGGGGTTCATCTGGGCTGTTTCATGGGGGAGGCTGGTATCTTCTTGGAATTCAGACATTGTCAGCTGTTTGTGAAATCGCATGGAGCGCCACGACAACATTCATCATATTATTCGTAAGTAACGTCTAGCTCACCATACACAGAGACTGCATGAACTAAAATGTATACCTTTTTGCATAGTACGCCATGTGGTAAACTTGTTTCATGTTTTGTTCAACGAGATTTGTTTGTTACGTTACTCGTCAATAAACCAGCTCTTTCACGGACGCTTGTGAATAATTTAATACACCGACTCTGTTACACACCTCTGTCGTACACGATGCCCGTGATTGTTTATTTGCGTGATTTTTATACTACACATAAAGGTAAGGAAACGACAAGGGAAATAATGTAATCAGGGTCCCCGCGGATATTGCAACTTACGAGATCAAGAAAATAATGTACGTCAATGAGTACCGGTTTCTGTCGATTTCAGATTATCAAGAAAACAATCGGCCTCCGTATGGACCCTGAGGAAGAACAGCTTGGGGCGGATCTTGTGGAACATAACATTGGAGCCAGGATCGGTGATCCTATTCTGTTTTCCCCTCGGCCAAGCGCACCTCCCAAGCATCTCCGTCCTGCCACTGCTACCGGAAGTGACGACATTGCCGCGTCCATGACTTCGCTCCAAAGTAATGAGTCCTTATTTAAGAAACGTAAAGGGAAGCCTGGTGGAAACGAAATACAAAGCATTTCTATGATATGTCAAGAAGACGTGTAATGTTTTGGGAGAACGAGGCCGCGGTACATCAGTGAAAAATATAGGAAAATAGCGTTAGCCTGTGTTGATAGTTTGCGGACGGATTTGTATGTTACAAACAACGCTAACGTTCTTAGAAGCACATAGTAGCTCATCCCTTCTTTGTTTGGTGTATTTTGGTTTGTTTAAAACACATTATGATGACATCTAGCTGTATAATGACGACCATCTTCCCGAGGCAAGTGAGTTAACTGACTATAAAAGTCCAGTTTCCACCCTTGCCGAACTAGGCTGGTATTATGGAGTTACATTTTGGCTGGACTAACGAGTCTATGTATAGTCCATTCAAAATCGCGCACCGAAATCGAAATCCGGTTCGTAGAGTGTCATGCAGTTTTCGGTCGACTGCAGGATTTGCAAAGCATGTGCACCGCTAACTCGTCAACAGATATTTTCTAAATCTTTTCATGTTTATAATCAAGGTGCTCACGTGATTTCATGCACTTCGCGATGCAATATAGTTCTTGATTATCGATCAGATCGTCTTGACTGGGCGCCACCGTTTTGTTTGAAACAAATGCAAGTGACACGAGAGGTTGAATCTGATTGGTCAATAGGAGAGGCATAGAAAGGACATAACTCGTAATAGCCACTGGTAGCGCTACGATCGAGCCCAGGAATTCCAGCCTAGTTCGACAAGGGTGGAAACTGGACTTTTAAAGTCAGTTAACTCTCTTGCCTCGGGAAGATGGATGACGACAGGTGAATGCTGGAATATTGACCAGGCAAACTACTAATTCATATTACGAGCAACGTCCCACACCGTGAATAAACAGGCAATCATATTTCATCATAAATGACGTCATGAGGAATAGATGACGTCATCTATATTGTGATAATGCAATTATATGACTTCACTTTACTAAAGAATGTTTCGTAAACAATCAAAACAATTGGTGTGAAAAGAAAGCTATGGTTATCAATACCAGCATCCCCATGGGGGTAACATCACTTGCAATATATAAACCGGACAACGTTGTAACGGAAGTGACATTTTCGTATGGGCTTATTAACTACATGTGCATAGTCAATCATTTCTAATTCTTATATATGTTGTAATACAACTCCCTCACATAACCTACATCCCCAGTATGCCAAATAGAAAGCAGTGGTATGTATATTGCAGGTATATATAATCCAATGTACATATCATACCAGTTAGTGTATTACTTTTCATCTTATTACATTTGTTGTACAGATAAGTGAAATAATGCACTAGGTAGAACGTAGGTCTTTGAAGAAGTTTAATCATATTTAATTTAATAATCTGCAACGTAGTAAGTAGTAAATGTCTGAAACCTGCATCATTTCGCGCTTTCCTCTATTCTATCGATTCGATGTTGTTGTGATATAATATCCATCAAAGATGAACAACATTTACATATAAAGTCTAAATAAGATCTTTCAGTGGCTATAAAAATATATTAGAATAATATTTTGCCTAGTTCTTTTTTTCACATCTAACAACAGTCCAAAATCCAATCACTTTTTACATCAAGCACTTCCCGCCTTTGCTTATGTATCATCCCGAACGGGAAAGAAATTTACTTCTGAACCATTTGTTTGCAACAACACACAACTTATCATTGGTACTGTTTACAAATTGTTCTTTCGCCCTCCCACTTCTCCTGCAGCAAAGCGTGTAGAAACATTATGGATGCCCTAAAGTTGAGTGAGTAAATGTTTTTTACGCCGCCTGGGCTATTACAGCATCATATCGATGGCCTGTAAGTAATCGGAATGAGCAATGATTCGCGCCGATTTGGCACGATGACCTACAATGAATAAGGCCCAGCTCTGTACCCACCTGACCCCCAGTAAACGGCATTATGTTAATGTGCATCGTTATATGGCAAAACACAATAAGAAAAACATATTCCTGAATATCAAACTATCATATACCAATGAATTTCATGATTTACTTACATGTAGTATCGCGTTTCACTGGTATATATACAATTGACATTTGTATGTCTTGCAATTTTAAACACTGTAAAAGCATTAATTTCAAGTCTGGCCTGAAATGCTCCCGAATGTCGCTATGTGATTGGAACAATGCCGACGCGATGTTAAACATTAAGCTACTCACTCATATACGTGAGTGAGTGAGTATGGTTTTACGCCGCTTTTAGCAATATTCCAGCAATATCACGGCGGGGGACACCAGAAATGGGCTTCACACATTGTACCCATGTACCCGGGAATCGAACCCGGGTCTTCGGCGTGACGAGCGAAGGCTTTAACCACTAGGCTACCCGACCGCCCCTACTCATATATGTAATCGTGTAAGTACATGCATATGTATGCGAGCTGCAGTTTTCTTTAACTCTTTTGTTCTTCATTCATTATATTTTTAGAGCGTGGTCCCCTGAGTGTGAAGACAGAGTACTCTCTTTTCAAGCACTCATTGACACAATATGAACATTCACTACTTCAGTTTAGAAACGTGTCTGACACAAGAATCGTTATTGCTTTAAATCTATTACTGAAGCCAAAAGTGAAGAAAAGGATGCCCCAAGTTAAACACCCTGATGCTAATAGATTTTGGAAGAGCAATAATTATCGATATGTCTTGTTTAAACAAAAGTTATTTTTATTTTCCTTAATTATTTCATGAAGCACAATATGTGGACAGAACCTTCACAAGTGACATAGTAATTCGGTTACAGAAACCATTGACGGTTTTAGTTAAAAAAGCAACCGTCTCAAAAGAACGTTCAAGGGCCAGCTATCTCAATCTGTCAGAACAAATTGCATTTGGTTTAAAGGAAGATATCGAGCGATACCCAAAGGCTGCTGTTCTGAGGTAACACATGACCTAAATACGTTACAGTTGAAATTCCCTTTCAGCATCACTAGTGTCCAGTTAGGACGTTTGTGCAGAAAACCCCAGTGACGTTAATAATGGCATGATAGTATAAGCCTCGTTTTGGAATTAAGCAGTGCTTGAAATGAGTAATCGATGACTACCTTTAAGTATTCCTCGACTCCAAAATAAAGTAATGTTGTTACTTACCTATGGCATTGGTGTGTTTTTCTTCTTTGATCATGTATTTAAAAAAAAAAATTATAGACGAATGTGTAAAGATGGAATCTTGGATACTTCTCAGTATACGTTTTCTGTACCATAATTCGGTTACTTTGATTACGGATTGGACTGTAGGCTGTTAAGCCGCATGGAGTCGAGCACTCTATGGAATATCGGTAATGCATTTGGCCTGTCTTAGAAGCAAATATTTACCGGACATTATTCCAAATGTTCCCTCAACTACAGGTATGCATTAAAGATGCCCTTTCCTCCTTGTATTGAGCTAATGAATGCTCGCGATTTTTCCAAGTTTATTTGGGGGGCACGGGTCTCTTGGGCACAGCAGAAACCTATGATTGTGGGTTCGAATCCCGGTTCGGCCCGATTATGTTTCTAGGTTTGTTAGCAGCATACCCATGTTCGTGTGCGTGCATCGCTTCGGGCTTTCCTCCAACATTAAGCTGACACGCCGTCATAAAACAGGAATACTGTTGACAGCGACATTAAACCCTGTTCATTCAATCACTCCATGTCTATTGATACACCTGGTAAAAAGTGAAGCACCCTCCGAAAAAAATAATCACTGTCGCGCGACCTCAGCAAATGTAATTGGTTAAATAAGTTTGGCACTGACACGAACAGTTATGCTTAGCTACGATATGAATTGTTACCAACGTAAAGAAACGTCCACGGACCAAAAACGCATGTGACGTCAGAAATCGAACATCTGAAGGAGTACTGGATACCCCACAGAAAATTGTCACCAGGGACATCGAGGACTCGACTCAACTAAGGAGGTTTGAAGTCAAGGAGAGTGATCAAGCGCCCTATGCTTTCAGATCTTTCAGGAACCGTTTGGCATTGCGTCTGGCTAGGCATAGCTGGAACCTGAGGACATGGAAGAAGATGCACTGGACGGATGAGGGGAGAAGGCCCCCGTGTGTCGAAACGGCGCAAACTAATGAGAATGCGTGTCAGGATATGGGTACTTCTGTCAATATAATCCGGAGTATTTATGTTATTTTGGCAATATCCCGTTGTATATTATACCAGGAAGTGAAAAATTTATTGAAGTAATTAACTAATTCAAAACACATTCTTCAAGTACATTGTGATATTGTGTGGAGGATATTTGAATGGGGATTGTTGTTCCGTGTCACAGGTGGACGTATTCGGGTTGGGTGGCAAAGAAACAAGGTATCCACGCTCAGGGACATTCGTCCCACAGTGGTTGAGGATCAGTCATGGTGGCGGGCTGTCTTCCTATGACCGCACGCTGGACACGGTCACTGTACAAGGGTTTGTGTGTTTGTTGTTTTACGCCGCACTCAGCAATATTCCAGCTATATGACGGCGGTCTGTAAATAATCGAGTCTGGACCAGACAATCCAGTGATTAATATCATAAGCATCGATCCACACAATTGGAATCGATGACATGCATCACCCAAGTCAGCGAGCCTGACCACCTGATCCCGTTAGTCGCCTCTTACAACAAGCATAGTCACCTTTTACGGCAAAGATGGGTTGCTGAAGACCTATTCTACCCCGGATCTTCACAGGACCACTGCACAAGGGAATCTGACTGGTCACAGGTACAGGTGTCAAATTCTGGATCCGATCGTTTGACCACATCTTGGGATAATGGACTTGCTGATATGTATGTATGTGTGTGTATGTGTGCGTGTGTGCGTGTGTGCGTGTGTGTGTGATTGTGTGTGTGTGTGTGTGTGTGTGTGTGGTGTGTGTGTGTGTGTATGTGTGCGCGCGCGTATGTGTATGTATGTAGGAATGTGCAAGTCCATTATCCATTATTTAAGAAAGAAAAACATAGTTACTTGTCAACTTGTCAGCCTTTGTCCTACCTCGTCATTTGACAAAAGATATACGAGAAACAATCGTCTAATACTACACTTAAACACACCATAAACATATCGGGGAAGATATTGAATAGTATCTGTTAGGGTTAGATTCAATCCTGGTACGTACTCTCCGGGGTCTAGGTATGTAGTAGGGAGAGAACGTACAGGGGTAGATATGGCGTGTCACCGACACTCTCATACAACACAGTGATACATTCGGTTAGTTATTAAAAGATTGCTGAAGTAGAATTGTTTCATGAAAGCAAAGAAGAGATTTCAGTTACACCGCGATATATATATATCGTAATCGTTTGGTGCTCATTCAACGTTTTTAGATATGACTGATCCGATGCTTCTCCTGATGTCCATAATAAGAATAACTGGTACGAAGCAAACAGAAAATATGGTGAGTGTGAGAGATCGATTTAACGCCGCTTCGAACAGTATTTCAGTTATATCACGGCGTGACCGCTTGATGTGATGCAGGTCCTAGGCGCTTAACCCCACGAACACGGGTATTGTGGTGGCAGGCCAAAATATATAACCAAGGTGAACCGAGATTCGAACCCACGATCATATGTTTCTGGTACGCATAAGGGTCTCTGCACATCGAATTGCAACGCCTCGGACAACTAGGCCACCCAACCCCAATTAACAGTGACAATTTCCAGAAA